CAAACTTTAGTATCAAAGCAGACACCTTAGGTTTTTCCTTGAAATTTAGTTCAGTCTCTTTTATGTTGGCAAGCAAGGGTATAACCAACATAAGAATCCTAGAAATAAAATTATTAAAATACAAAAAGGATTTTATTAAGAAAAGGTAAAAAACCATAATAATAAATTTTCTCCAAATCCAGCTTATTGAGCTGTTAGAGTGTTTAACTACATAATAATAATATACTCACTGATCTTGGTGACTCTGAGGCCTGTTTTCAATAGATTCCAACAAAATGGGTGCCATCTTAAGTTGTTCCTCACGAGGTAATCGAGGAAAACCCATAGTTATGTAAATAATTGAAAAATTCTGAAACATAAATCATTATATATATTTGTGAAAGATATGTAAAACTTATTCTAATAAAAATATAATTATGACAATAAATAATAAATACTTGGTAATCAAGTGAAAATAATAAATAAGGTATCTCTTACATTTTACCAACTACATTGTCAATATACAAATCAATGCAAAAAAATTCACAACAAATGGAACATTTTTAACAAAAAAATTACTTACAATGATAAAACTGTTTGCAGAAGGCTCACGGTAGGACTGTACCAAAGTCTCCACAGGGAGTTGCACATCAGCTCTGCATTTTACTCTCTTGTTCACATGAACCAACAGTTCCATCACCTTAGTGCGAACCTAAAACAAGTATTATATATTACTTATATTCTTTACAAAGACATACTTTCGTCACCATTAATACCTTGTATTTCACATTTTTTATTATTGTTGTAAAGCTCAAACAATGAAGCTGTGAATATGCATTTATTTATGTTCCATTAAATCTATAATAACTAGTGTTATGGTTAGGATAAGCTTGAATGTCAAACCTGTTCATGTGGGGATGATAGCTTAAGAATTACAGGAGACAAGAATCTCTTTAGACAACTCTCCAGCTGCTCATCAGAGTCTGCATTTCCAAGACGAAGAAACACACGATCAAGAAGCACTAAGAAAAACAAAATTTTGATAGGAACATATAAATTTAATCAATTATAACAATGAAAATTAACCAACTTACACAAATCATTTGAACAGTCATTGCTGTTTTCGGTAACATCCATCTCGGACATCTTTCAATACAATTATTGGATTTTCATCAACTGTATTATAGCAGTAATAGAAAAACATACAAATATTTCACTATGTGGGTATAGGATGACAGACAAAATTCGAGTTGATATGACATTTAACACCACCGTTTTGACACGACATTATCATATCTAGAATTAACCGATATAATCTATGGCAATTGTCAAATGAATAACGGGACGAACTACCCGACTAAGCCTTCTTGTCGGCTATTGGCTTATAACAGCTGCAAATTGTAATATTTTAATAGTAGGTATTGTGCGATAATGTAAAACGTGTTACGATACGGGGATTAAATTACGCGTTATTGTTAATATTATTTACGACTAATACACATAATGGTAACTTTTAGGTATAAAGAGTCACTAGGTGGTCACTAATCGTTTTACTATACTTGGGTACAGAGAGGCGTTACATGGGGGTGTCAATAATCTCCAAAAATCTCAAAAAAATTGCGTGACGTAATATTAGAACGCTCCCTTACCACTGTTTAGACCCTTAAGTCAAGTCAAACGTGCACTCACCCAATTTGGAATGGTTATGGTTATGGTTGTCCTATTCAATCTTAACAGTGCGTATTATCAAGAAGTTCAATAGCCTCGACATTCACTCGTTGGTGGAGTCTTTGTTATTTGTTGTGCTCCAGTATTTTTTTTGATTATTGTCGTGACCTACATTAAGGTCCCGATGAAGGTTGTCATATGTACCGGGGAGCATTAATTATTCCCCTGAGCACTTTGTTTTGGAATCCTTGGATTATTGAAGTGGGCAAAAAATAAAATCATTCCGATTGTTCAACCGCTTAAAGTACAAGACGTTGAAATCACTAACAAAAAATGGGAGAAATATCTAGGTTTTAGAATGGATACATATTTAAAGTGGAACTTTCATATATCATACATAATTACTAAACTAAAATCACTTATAGACAGATTTTGGTCAATATCAAAATGCATTCCGCAATCTGTACGTCATTTAATTTATAATTGTTTAGTCAAGCCACATTTCGTATATCTAAGTGAAATATGGGGTACAGCATGCAAAAACAAAATTTCTAACATACAAACACTACAAAATAAATAAATAAAAGCACTATTTAGATACAATTTTTTAACACAGACTAATAAAATCTACCAAGAAACTAAAATTATGACGATTAAACAACTATATTATGTTTATAGCAGCTGTATCTAAATACAAAAAATTTAAATAACTCTCTCCATAGTAGCTTATCATTTAAAAAAATCAAACACACCACTACACGCAATAGTTACTCCTCGAGCGAGTTGGCTTATCTTGCCGAAGCAGCGCACAAATTATTTAAAGATAAAAGAAGTCTATTAAGTATGAGGGTGTGCAATTATTTAATCAATTACCGTCTAAAATTCGTAATATTAGCGCGTTAACCAATTCAAAAGGGCATTAATGATACATTTCAGAATGAACCTACTAGACTACAATTGGAACGGCTGATGGCGACGTGTATCTCGTTCGTATATAGGTAGGTATACATATTAAGTTTCTCGTGTAAATAGAATATATTCTTTTTTTGTAATGAGAAATAAAGTTCTTTAAGCGTTAAACTTCTTTAGGCACATGAGGGTTACTTTTTTACGGATGAAACGCAATAATAATAATATTAGCGTCACGATGTGCAGCGTTTTTGTCGAAGAAAAGGTAGAGAGTGATTGACGATTGAGAGAGGGTGAGAAGGGTGAATTACCTTATAGAAACTCTATTAAAAATTATATTTTAAATTAAAATTTCGTTAAGAGAATTTATGAAACATTAGTATTTTATATTTTATGCAAAATAATTTATTGAAATCTCAAAAGGACGAATTGTAAATTAAAGTACTTACCAATACTATTGGCACTTTTAATATTTTAATGACAATTAAATTCATTGAATCCCTAACATATCTTCCTTTTTCCCTCCCTCTAAGTCTCGGAAATCTGAAGTTTGATTAGATATTTTGTTTAAATATGACAAGACTTAAAAATAATTAGTTTGCCAAAGAAGTTTCACTTCTGACATGTGTACTTTGTACGCACGCACTTTTTTATTTGGATGTAGCTCTTTCTGATAAAGCTCCACAGCTGCCAACCATAAATAAGTTCATACAGGCATCAGGACTTGTTTTAAAAATTAATAATTTAATTAGTATTGATAACGTGGAATACCTTCCCACCATCCAATACAATTTACTGCAACGGAGATACAAATCTTCGCGCTTCTGTTTAACATGGACCTTCCATCAGAGTTTGGCATCAAGCGTCAAACCTAGCTAATTTTTAAAACGGCACTATGACGTAATCAATATATACTGATAATTGCTGATAATTTGATGTTTTGTTGGTAAAGTCTATGTGAACTTATTAAGTCTTATCCGCCTTTTATTGGAACACAAGCCAACAACAACAGCACCGCATCCTATTCAGTTGCCGCCGTACACATGGTAGCAGTATCATCAGCGAATGTAGCGATTACGTTATTTTCTAGAATGTAAAAACCACCCTAAACATTATTTGTTTTAAATATGACTCAAGGATATTTGAGAATTTTCGAGGGAATAGTTTCTTTAATTTGAAGACAAGTCCCTATCCCTGTGTAGCCTGAGCTACATCCAGAAAGACTATGGATATGAAAGTTATAAATATATATTTAAGTGAGGCAAACGAGCCTAGGGAACAGCCATTTGTACGGCTATTCCGTAGTAGCCTCAGGACACCCAAGTTAGTGGGTGTGTTGCCAGCCTTTAAATGAGTATTCTCTTTTTTAAATAGTTGGAGGTCGTATCTCCCAGGAAGACCTCCACTCGGAGACGATTGTAAGGCTCGCTAGTTCCAAAAATAAATGGAATTGCAAATGGAGTGAGGAAGATTTCTGGGCAGCCATCGATGCGGAAAGCTTAACGTTTAAAATAACCCGTTTCAACGACTTAACGTTTTCGACCATAAATTACGTTATGCGTTTTAAACGCTTTTAATAGTTCTGCAGATTCGATTGTGGTATTCCAAAGTAGACATCAGAAAGGTATACATATATAGAAAAAAACTATATTATAGAAATAGAATATTATTTTCTGCAAATCGAGCTAAAAATATACATTTTATCCACAAATTAAATCAGTATGAATTAATCAAACATAGTGTTACTAGAAGGTATTTCGTTGATAAAATCAGTGTTACATTTTAATAAAAGGCAATGTAATTTCTTACAACTTCTTAGATCAAACTATTCTAATATTTTAAACTATCAACACAGCACTCGTTATTATACAATATTAGTTCTATAGAAAGCAGCCAACATATCTAATAATATAGAAACATTTATCATGCATAGAAATTCATTTTGTTAATGGGCATTTTATTTCTTCTAAATAAAAAAAAGTAAAAATGTCTGCATTAAGTCTTACAATTGCTCTTTTCTACCCTCAACATTAATAATACTATTTATAATTTAAAGACATTACAACAATAATGTCTTGGCGCTTTCGGTATTGAGATATTAATAACTACAGTCTATTAAGTAAAGTAAGTAATTCTATAAGTCGGAATGTTCATGTTTTTAATTTTTTACATACACCTTATTTGTAATCGAAATTGTCTTTTATGTATTCAAAAATTTTAATGTAGCAACACTGGCAGTAATCACTTAATTTTTTTAACATGAAAAGCCAAATAACTTGTATACTGCTTTAACACCACAGCATGTTGTCATGGATTCTTGCTTTTCAATTCCAGAAACAAAATCATCATAGATAAATTTGTAAATCTATGAACGTCTGTCATTTTAAAAAGTCTTTAATACCACAGTTGAGACTAACACTTGCCACAAAGTCAGTTAAGGGATGCTATTCAATACCATGAGCAAATATCATGACAAGACCAGGCTCAATCATCATGTGTTCATCAACATGAGTATTATCACAATGTAGCACTAGCACTGCTTGCTTTCCAGGGACTCTTTTGCAAACGTACTTATCATACAATCTGTAAGAAAATCTAAATAAGATTTTAAGGAAATAAAACAGAAGTTTTTGTTTTCTTATACGTAAAAAAAACACGAAAAAAGTTAAGACTTCTGACATAAAAAAAACAATTGAAAATTTCCTAACTGCATTAAAAGAGCGTATCAAAATTACAGATTAAGACAAACTATTTCATATGTTAACTACCTATAGTATTTCCAATTGTGTATTGGAACAAGGATAATAAAAAGTTTAGAAAGTCTTTATGTGTTCTATCCTCAAGGGCCAGATTGGATATTTAAAAGAACAATTTCATAACCCAGAATATATTGATATTCGTGTTTCAATTAATTTCATTATACATATAATAAATTCATATAAGTTTATCATAGAGTATATATACCAACCTTCTATTATTTTGTCTAGTTTCTAATGAGGATAGGCCAGGTGGCCACCTTCGTTCATGGCAGTTTTCCATCAGATCATCGATTATGTGGGGTGGACATCCTGATTCAGATAAACTTCTCTTTATCATCATCTGTGAAAGAAATATGTTGATAAGTCCAATTCATTTATTGAAAAAGTTGTTGTGTAGTGGCTACTAAAATTTTTATATATTTACAAGAAATTTTTAAAGATCATTATTAACTAACATTCAAAAAATTTTAACATTTCATCACCCGGTTTTTTGGGCACAAAACTCATTTTATTTCTAAGAAAAGTTGACTGTAAGTATACTCAGTCTATTACCACCTGCAGGACGTCATCTGGTGTAGATATCATCCCACCCCAACGGGTGACCTTTGCTCGTGATAGGGAGTTGGCCCAGCGGACCACTTCTTCACGTTCCATTTGGTCAGCAAGTGCACGCATTGTGGGATTCGTTACGCGCATCGCTCGCATAAAATCCTAAAAACAATATTAGAAATTGTCCGAATTGATCAAATATTTTTAAACATTACCTGGCTAGAAATAAGTTGATTAGACTGAAAATTATCTTTTATCTAACAGATTGTGAAATGTTTTATAACACTTTAATCTGCATAGGATAAATCTAAGTGACAGAAATACCTTTAACAAAGCAAGCTCTCGTTTATGTTCATTTATAATAAGTCTTTGTTCAGCAAGTTCTTGCTGATAATCTGTTAGCTTTTCCTGCTGTGATGTTATAAGAGCTCGGAGTTCTCTCACACAATTGTGTTCAGCTAATTCATCTTTGGGTATAACCAATCCACACCCTGTTTCACAAGGCATTGGTCTCTTTGGATTAAATTCACCTGCAATTAAGGGGTTCTATGGTTATTTTACAAGCATTAAAATTTCACTGTTATATTTTGTATTTCAAATAACATCAAGAACCTCATTCAAAAATCCAGTAAAAAAATAGAAGGTTTACACAAAATGTTTAGAAGGAATTTGTTTAATACAAGTTGTTGAAAATTTATCTGTTTGTGTACAGTGCACTTGATCTTGATCAGGGGGAAGTGTGTATGAATTTTCTCATCTCATCTCTCAAATTATGATTGGATTTTGTTTGAGAGATGGGAGAATTTGTTGATATTTAAAATGGTCTCTAAATATTAAGTTTGACTTCAATGTTTAGTTCCAACTAAAGGTTCCTTAATGAATCTGTTAAACCATAATGTCTAAATGAGAAATTAAATATCATGTGTAAATGTGTGTGTAAATAAAATCAGTCACTACACAAGTAACTTTCACGAAACAAAAAAGTTTTCTGTTTCAGATTCACATGTAATAACAGAATTCATTAAATAGGTAGGCATGTTTAATAACAACTATTATGTAAGTAATGCAGGTATTAAAATAGGTTTAACTTACATTCCACTAAGTGTGATGCAAGAGAGTCCAGTTTTAAAACAGCACTGCAACCATGTGGTGCATTGTCACAGCTTGTACAAAGTCTGAAATGACCATTCGAAACATTACTGTACTGATTTTATTGAAAAATTAATTCTAAACTGTAAGAATTTAAATGATATAAAATATACTGCATGCTCAAGAGAGTAGAGAGCTCAATAACATATGAAAGCCAAATGTTCCAATGAGTTTCCTTTACTGTTTACTAGCATGTTTGTGTTATTTCCATTTTCTTTAGGGAAATGAAAGAAACATAATATCAATTCATTGGCCCAGATACGTGCATAATGTCGTAACAGCAAATACCTTGAAAGTAGGTTACGTAGGATTCTTGGAACTGGTATCAGTTGACTGGCAGTGACAGCCTGCCGGTCCACTGGGCACTTTGGCTGACGACTTATCCACTGTGTAATGCAACCACGGCAAAACGCATGTTCACATGTAGGTGCCTTTGAAAGATAAATAAAATTAGATCTCAAACTGTAAATAAAATTTATAAATCTCCCTTCAGAGTTAATTAAAATTATAAACAAATATAAAACAAATACGAATACCTGCAAGGGATCTTCTAACACTCCTGAGCAAATGGGACAAATTAGTTCTTCGTCGACGTCACCTTGAAATCTTTTGATTTCAAAGCCCATCTTTAACTTCACACAACTATGTCAACCATTCAAGCTTTAGGCATCGAAACTATTTAAAAATTCAAATCTTAAGTAAACTTAGTTTTTAATTAACTGCATTGTTATTCGAAGCTCCGCTCATAAGAAATACTAACTGACAAATTCTCGACTTTTGACACAGATATTTTTGACGAACAAATATCAACAAAATAAAAAAAATCTACAAAAGCAATAAGCGCAGACTAGAGTGTCTATAGAATAAGAAAATTAAAAAATTATAATCTGTAATGAACTTAGAGGAAGTTTCTAATTTCTATTAGATAAAGTCTTAAAACAAAAAATACATCTCACCTAAGCTAGGTGAGATGTATTTTTTGTCCTATTCACTCTATTCACAGGTTTATGTAACACATTACAGAAGTTTTTGAAGTGAAACTTTTTTAGGCGCATGAAGGTAATTTTTTTACGGATGAAACGCAATAATAAAAAAGGGTGCGTGTACGTATGTACGCGCGTAAGAAGTTATAGTTCTTTGGCATTATTAAAAATAATTTTTGATTGCATGCAAATAATTAAGTACAATTAAATAATCAAAGACTGGAAAAGGAATCATTATAGTCAATAAAGTTCAGATTACATTTGAAAAATTAAATAAATAAATATTTATTATTATTCTCTTACATTAAAGTATTAACACAAATTCTATTATTATTAGAATGTTGTTTTTAAATTATGTCCGATGCCGTAGCATCTTCCGTGGGCAACTTTATTCTGTTAATTTTGTGTCACGGTGCGCGCGCATCGTAAAATTTCACTCTCATCATTTTCATAACGCGCCTAAAGAAGTATAACTTCAATAATAGAGATTCAATTCAATATTAGAGTCACAAAGATGTACAGCGTTTTTGTCCAAGAAAAGGGAGGGAGCGGTTAAGACCAATTGAGAGATTACCTTATAGAAATTCTAATTAAAATTTCCTAAAGAGAATTCATGAAATATTAGTATTTTATAGATTTTTTTAACATCTCCGCATACACGAATTCAAGTCCGACCAGTCACCACAAGTTCCACCCACCATATGTTAGGGAGAGAGACAACACGACGCATGGACGAAACATACTTCTCAAGAAAGAAATAACCAAATGGTTTTAACTAAGGAACACATAACAGCTAATAAATCAATGAAAAAAAAATTAAAGCTTTTTTTTATTTCTCTTATCCTTTTATGCTATACTATATTCCTTCGTATGCTATTCTATAAAAGCTTTTTAAATGCTAGTTCTTGTGTGATGTGTCACAAATCACAATACGAATACGTTGACTCAGTAGTCACTAGTCATTTCTCAGAAGTCAGATGTCTGTTTGACATATTGTACATTTTGTCTCCTGCTTGGTATTGTAAAATTTTCTTTACAATTTCAATCGCTTTAAAATTCTGATTATTTCAAGATAAAATGGATATAGCTGTACAAATGTATTAAATAAGTAGTTCTTTATTCTTTTTCAAGTGTTTATGTATATAAAGTGAATAATAAAAATGAGTGTGTTTAAATCTGCAATGGGGTACTTCAGCTCTGCAAGTGCCAACGGGGGCAGTGATAATGATTTTGTTGGCCAATTTGTTGAAATTGGTAATATGAAGCTTCGTGTAAAAAAAGTAATAGCTGAGGGTAAGTTGATTCTTATGTAGTGGCAGTGCGAAATAAAATATTAATTATTTCGTTCAGGTCAGCGTACCAATGACGTACGTAAATTGGGGGCGGTGGGGTCATTGTCTAAATGAGCACCATTTGTCAATATTTATAAGAGATGGATTCTTAACTTTTCACAGTGTGGCTTTATTATTGCTAGAAATATTTTTTTAAACAAAACAAAGATATCTTAGTTCTTTACTTCCACAGAGATTAATATTTTATCTGGACTTTCTATAAAAGAGTTTAAGCTAATAATCTTTATAAAATAAAACACAAAATTTATTGTTTGTTATTTGAAACTGGTACTTTCACATAAATGTAAATTTTATTATTGAATATAGATTAAGACAAATTTAATTATAATAACAAATGAGTACTCAAATATGTTTGAATAAATATAGATTAAAAAAGGAATAACATTTCAACATTAATTCTCTTATGTATTATTATTATTTGGATCACCTCCAAAATGCACCTGCATTATGCAATTAGAACTATATTTTTTTAAATAACTTCATTTTTACTTTTCATTACAGGTGGTTTTGCATTTGTTTTTGTTGCTCAAGATGTTGCTACTGGTACTGAATATGCATTAAAGAGGCTAATGGCAGCAGATGAGCAAGCTAATAAAAATATTATACAAGAAATTAGTTTACTTAAGAAACTTTCTGGACACCCCAATATAATCAAATATATAGCTGCCTCTTTTATAGATAAGACAAAAACAAGTCATGGAATGAGTGAATATCTACTATTAACAGATTTGTGTAGTGGAGGGAGCTTAATGGAAGCCCTACAACATAAGGGGCAGGCTTTTCCATTACCAACAATATTAAGAGTGTTCTATCAAACATGTAAGGCGGTGCATCATATGCACAACCAAGTCCCTCCTATAGCTCATCGAGATCTCAAATTAGAAAATTTTCTTATATCTAATGAAGGTATGTAATACACACTATTACAACATACAGACAACTTTCTAGCAGCCAATGTGGTAAGTTCTTGGTTAATAAATGTTCTAGGTAGGCAGGCTTAAAGGAATGGTGAGCTATTGAAAGACAGAAACATTGTTGCCTTATATCTTATTTGAGAGCTATACTGCTGTTACATATGACAGTTTTCTTATGTTGTAAATTTATTGTTTCTTTTGAAATTATAGGCACAATAAAGCTGTGTGATTTTGGGTCTGCAACAACTGAAGTCTATAGCCCTAATCCATCCTGGAGTGCTAACCAAAGAAATATGTTAGAAGAAAATGTAAGTATTGTTATATATTATAAATCTGCAAATTTTTTTACTGTGCAATTATGAAACCTACAAAAATACTTTTTTCTTTTCTTAAAATTCATAATAACTATATTAATTTAAATAATAATGAGAAATGTGATGAGATTTAACTGTGATGACCAATTAATGAAATTTTATATAGTTTTAAGCGTAATTTAGTAGAACACATATTTCCTTCTTATATTTTATAAGCGAGTTATTTTTGCATCTTTAATATAAATATAAAAGTATTATAAAGAAATTTAAAGATTTTTGCTTTGTAATCCTACTCTACAAAATAAATACTAGTTTTCAAATTTATACCAAAATTTGATTAAAAATGTTTGATAACTTTTAGTTTAAATTTGACATTTTAATGAAGCTGATGTTTTTCATTGTTTCATGGCCCTATAGCCCTGAAACTAATACCTCATATAAGTTAACAATGTTTATTAGTGTTCCGCAATTGCCTTATTTTGATTACTTTTTGAAATAACTCTGACAATCTTCCATTCCTGTAGCAATGTCCTGAGTGATTTTTCCCTATAACAAAATATATAATTTTAATAGGCTTATGGTTGTGATATACAATACAATGCTAACTAAATATGGCAACATTTTTTTTTGTCTTTGTGAAAAATCATATCACCAAATATAGGATTGATTCAATCTCTTTAATTGACTTAATAGAAAACACTTTCATTTATTTATAGATTTTTATCGTATATGTAAATTTGTTTTAGTTGGCCCAATTTACAACTCCAATGTATAGAGCACCGGAAATGCTAGATACTTGGGATAATAGGAAAATTGACCATGCAGTTGATGTTTGGGCACTCGGTTGTATATTATACACACTGTGCTATATGCAACACCCGTTTGAAGACTCTGCAAAGCTTGCTATACTTAATGGAAATTATACCTTAAACCCAAATGACCAGAAATATAAATGTTTCCATGAAATTATAAGTAAGTATTCTCAAGTCTGATGTTGTTACGTCATCGTATAGAGATATTTTTAATGTTGTATTGCATTTTAAAATTTGCTCAAACGTTTTATCTCTCTTTCACATATTGTAATTGTTTTTACTTGCTCTTTGTTGTAAGGACTACATTGAAAGGGGAAATTTAATATATGTGTCTTGAAATATTAAAGTTTACAAGTTTACATATCCAAATTATCAAAGACCATAATACAATCGTTTACTGTTAATGAATATTTTTCCTTATATATACTTATCTGTAAGTAAAACTGACTCATTGTCAACTGTGTGTCAGCATTTTACACATGTGTTTGTACAGATAAAGCTATGCAAGTGCATATTAAGGGTCATGACCCCCATCACTTTATCATAAATTTTTATTTGAAACTCTTCGGATAAGAAATACACCATCCGGTGTCGATTTGTTTTTTTATTAGAAGTAAACCATGAATGATAATATATAATATGAGTCGGCATAAAAACGCTTGGTCTCAAATTTCTGTATCAGTTTTATGAACATTTTTTTTCTTAAAGTCAAGTAGGTGATCAGTCTTTTATGCCTGACACAGGGTATTGATTGTTGCTTTGGTATGAGTCGGTTTCCTTCAATGTTCTTCACCGTTGCGAGCGTTAAATAGAATTAAAAGTCCATTGCACAGTCGGGGCTGGAACCTCAGACTCCAAGGATGAGAGTCGCACGACCAAGCTAATCATGAATACTTAGGTAAAACTCTCCTGACTTCGAACGAAAGATCAGCAGCTCAGCGACTGATTAATGGTATGCTTGCAGGTGGTTGCCTTACCGTGAACCCCGAAGTGCGACTATCGATAAGTGGAGTGCTGGAGCGGCTGGCCGCCATAGCCGAGACACAAAACATCAATATCAAGCAACCACTCAAATTTGAGCGTAAAAAAGTTGAACAATCTGTGGCCACTAGCTCGCCAGGTAATAAGAAGTCAAGTAAATATTACACTACCATATCTTAAACGTTACAATTTATAGTTTTTAATTTATCGCGATCTAATCGTTCGGTATTTATTTTCCAATTAATCGAGCTAAAACTGGTCAAGTGTTTTTTGACTTTTTACACTCAAATTTTTTGTTTTGTTTTTAATTAGTTCCCTAGAGATTTATTTAACGGTAAATTGTGACATTCCAATGTTTCATCCAAAAACTTCGCCAAAGGTAAGAATTGAACATTGTTCTATGAACGAAAAAAGGTAGTATAGCATTTATTTGACTTTCATGTTGTTTCTTTATACATTTATAATAAGTACACGCTCTAATTAACATTTACTAGGTATTAGGATTTCAAATTTAAAAGTGCAATATCGGCATATTATAAACTTTTAATAACGAGCTTTAAATAAAAATGTATTTTTCAATCATAGTTTAAATTCAACATATATTTTGGAAAACATATATCAATAAGTGAGATATGTTCACAAATAAAACCTTCAAGTTAAAGCAACATCTGTCTCTTTCTATCGCAATATGAACACAATTTGATAGAACGAGACAGTTGGTTGAAAACAGAATAATTAGATGGTCTAAGGTGTTTCTTACCATGGTTACGATTTTGAAATATTGGTTACCATGGTAACACAATCATATAACGTTTTATAGTAATGCCGATTCTGTTTTTATAAATAAAGGGGTAAAAACATTTTTTCACACATTAAGAAGCTTTGTATATGCGTTACGGTTTTTAAAACCATTAAAACCTACTTGGTGACAGAATAAAAATATTTTTCTAGATTAAGGATTTAAGACATAATCTGTGCCTAAGACAATCATCACATTCCATTGGTATTCGTAACTAATAATCTATGGTTAGTAAAAGTACTGTATTTTCACATTTGGATAATAAAAATATTAACTTAGGTGATAATTGTACATATGTTAAAAATGGTCATAATATTTCTCGTCATAAATTTTGTGTTTACTAAACAATTACGAATATTATGTACCTAAATTCCCTCGAAAATATTCCCAAATGCTTCAAACATGCGTCAGTGCTTATAATATAGATATACAAGTAAATCACATATGGCCTTATTAAAACGACGACTAGAAGTAGTAAATACCATGGTAACAAAGTTCTTTTTCTATATAAAAATATTTAGACCTAACATGCTCAGACACAATTCCTTATGAATATACTCCCCAGATTATTTTAATCCACTATAATACTACATAGAAATTAGCCATGCATTTATCCGGCTGCGAGCAGTGTTGGCCTAGTGGCTTCAGCGTGCGACTCTCATACCTGAGGTCGTAGGTTCGATTCCCGGCTGTGCACCAATGGACTTTCTTTCTATGTGCGCATTGAACATTTGCTCAAACGGTGAAGGAAAACATCCAAAAAGTCGACGGCTCGTGTCAGGGACTGTAGGCTGATCACCTACTTGCCTATTAGATTTAAAAATGATCATGAAACAGATTAAAAATCTGAGGCCAAGATCTAAAGAGGTTATAGCGCCATTGATTTTTTTTTATCCGGCTGCAAAAGGCGTTATATTGAATTTGGGCTCGCTATGCATTTTCGTAAGAGATTTAATCACGCATTTATATTAATTGTGTTTCTTAGCTTAAATGATAAAAATAAAGATATGATATGAATATTATGACCAGACCATTTCAACGCAGTGGGTATATGCACTAACACGGTGGCTTGATTAAATGTTATTTGGGTTTATAAAGCTTCGTGTATACTTAGACAATATACGTAAATTTGGTACAAGAATTCGATTTTAGATAGTAAGTGCAATTGACTATGTAGCCAAGTTAATATGATAAATACTTGGGGTTTTGGCTATTGCTATTAAACTAACATGCATTGGTGTATCTAGGGTTAAAATTAAGTCCTATTTTCTTCGGTCTCCGACGATATGCTACCTGACCAGTCCCCTCTATATACGCCAATGCTCTGATAATACACATAAAGAATCATGTGAAGGGTTTAAATGTTTAAATAAACTAATAATGGCAACATTAGTTTTATTTATTATACCAGGAGTACTTTCAAGTGATTGGGCGTCTAAAATGGTAATTTTTTGTTTTTTTTTATGCTAACTGGTCGCATTTGTCATTTACTAATGCTTTTAATGTTATAGCAGCCATTCATGAACGCACTATAATCCTTAATTAGTCACAGTGTGAGGCACAAGACGAGGGAACATTTGTTAGCTATTTGTGGCTTATAGTACGTATATGAAAGGTTTATTCACTAACGCTAATTCTGATTTAGTAGGCAGAGCTAACTTTCAAATGCCATAATTGCAGTTAAGAGATTCTAGATAGAAAAAAAAGTGCGTGCGTAAAAAGTACACATGTCAGAAGTGAAACTTCTTTGTAAATTTATTATTACTAAGGTAAAAGCCCCAATAGATGATCATGCACCAGTATATGATCACTCCTTGTATTTGTATATCAATATTCACACTGTTTACACACTGTGTACGTGCTAATGATAATATACATAAATAAATCTGCGTTTACTGCACAAGACGTTGTGCGACAGAATTCCCATCTAAAGTTCTAATATGTAACTACTAAACGAATTCATCAACAAATAGCGTGTATTTTTTCTCGATCTCCCTTACTCTATCTCTTAATCTTTGTCACTATAGCTCTCTCCCACCTCTCGCTCTATCACGTTCGACGTTCACTCTATCTCACTCTCTCGATCTTACTCACTTGCTTGCGCCTTGCTCCCTACTCTCGCTCCATATCTATTTGCTTCATGCTACGTTCGCCCTTTCTCACTCTCTCTCAATCGGTCTCAATCGCTCTTTGTGACGCTACTATTATTATTGTTCTTGCGTTTCATCCGTAAACATTATACCTTCATGCGCCTAAAGAAGTTTCACTTCAAAAACAGTTATTCCAAATCGCTATTCTGTATATATTGATGACATATTCATACAAACACACATATTCTGTGATGACACTGCAGCGCCGGTAGTCTGAAATTTCCAGTAGCAATCGATACCGACGTTTTTGTATACATTTCAGAGTTCTTTATATATTCATAGTGTCGCAAGAAGGTACCGAAACAAAACGTGTCGAGACCGCTTTTCTATGTTACAAACTAAATAGATCTTTGAAAGAGATTTAACATTTGAATTAACACCTGTTTTTTTGAGTATTAATTTAATTTGTCTAGCTTCACCATAGAGTTGTAACAACTTTTTAACGATTTTACAAGTAGTCATAAATTACTAGAGATATATTTACTCAAATTAAATCTGGCAACACAAACGCACCAGTTACTAAAATGTTGTGTTTTTGCATCTTTATAACAAATAATAAAAAAATATGAATATAGCTTAACATTAGTCGTAATTACTTACGATAACTTAAACTTGTAGTGTTGCTAGCACTAGAAACTTTGTCTTACATAATTGTGTCTATACATTAAGGTAATGAGTCAAATCATTAGTATACATTATTTGTATTTTCTAAACGATATTTCTATTTTAAATCATTTGTAACGATTAGATTTTTATTTGTAATACATTAAAAACAAATTACCGATTCAATTCTATTTCTTGCTAGATGATGCATGTAGTCTAGTCGCTTCTGTTTCAAATTGATTTATTGCATGTATTTGTTGTATAATTAAAAAGTCTTCTAAAGTTCGATGGAGTTAAGAACATTTAAAATATCGCCTACGAACGGCGAACTAAAAAACTTATGTATTAGAAGACTTTTTAATTTTGCCTCATTCTACCTACCCCTTACATATCACATTTTCTTTTCATTTTAGGTGTTTTCAACTTTTTCGGATGCCCGATTGCTTTCTCCTTTAAATGATTGGCGCATGCTACATCCCTTGAACACGGAGCACTTGCTTGCTAGATTACGGATATGCTCGCAATGATGAGTATTTTTTCATTTATTAGCTATGTTTTTTAGGAATCATATAACATTATACTTTATGTATAAATATGCGGATTTCGTTGATTTTTTATTCGTCTCATCGTAGTGTAATATATATGCGATATAGTTGAATGACCACTATCTATTTTTTATCAGGAAAGCGGTAATATTAATAAATAGATGATCCGGTACGGTGTGCTATTATTGTTACACGCAACTAAAACGGCTAGTAATTTGTACTTAACAATTGTAACAAAAAATATGCATTAATGCATGTATCGGGTCCCTTGCCTAAACGGGATCTTCCAAGTTTGTACCTCACCCTTCTCTTGTTGAGGTTAAGCCTGTGGAAGTACGCGGTGCGACGAAGACGCGGCACTGCGGACGTCATTAACCTTCGCCGTCTTTGTTTTTCATCTCTCGGTCTTCCGTCCCTGTCTCACTTTGTCAGTACATCGTGGTCCTGCGTCTTTGTTGCACCGCTATAATACCCAATTTGAATGACATCCAAGACATATAACTTAAAAGCAGTATTCATTATTTTAATGTCTGTTTAATATACCCGCGTTAATAAAATGTCAATTAATATTTGTATTGTGATTATTGATAGTGCTGTGAACTAAGTATTTCTCGTTCACTAAGTTATTTAATTTTAAAAAGCTTTTATTAATAACTTAAATAAAATAACATTCCGAATTATTGGAGGCAGTATTACTGTGATGAATTTTTGTTGACCTCGAACGTTTTGTGAGAAAATTTACCATATCGGATTAATTATTTGGAAATTTAAAATCATAATAATATGTTACTTTATTTTTAATATTTAATTTGTTACCGTTATGTGATAGCACGTTAAGTTTTAAAAATGTTGCTTTTTTTAGTATTTTTTAAGTAAACAAATTTTAAACATCACTCTAGGCTAGTTATCTAATAAGTTACCAATCGCTTAAGATAAAAAAAATCTAAAATTACATTATACTGTAATGTCTGTTACAATTTGTATTTAATTTTATTATTATTAATTTTGGTGCTGAAATTACTTGAAAGTATTCCGCATTACAATAGTCTCGACGTTAGTACAGGTTTCATCGAATAAACGAAAACTATCGCGTCTATAGAAAACTTTGAAGCTTTTATGACTGCTTTTAAATTATGGTTTGTATGCTATTTAAAAAGGAAAGCGATTAGAAGAGTCGACTTTTACAAAACGTTTTAAGCTTCTCTATAAACACGACAGTTTTCGTCTACTCGATGACGACCCGATACGGCCAATGTCATTGTCATTTTAATAGCTTACATATTCGCAACTACTGACTACGCAAATATTGACTATCGAAAATGGTTATCCTAACATCAAGTGCCTACCGGCGAATATAAATTATACTATTATCTCAACAGTAATAATAGATCACAATTTTGCTTAAGTAAGATAATGTTTACCCTATAAATCAACATTATTACTGTTATAGCGACAATTTACATTAAAATGCTGGCAAGGTAAATTAATAATATAATGTGCTAAATTAAAGCGAAAGGTATTTTTCCTGTTTTGAGGCTTAAATAATTGTATTATAAATATATATTGCTCAAATATCTGTTTAAGGATAGAACTTTAATAATAAAAAAAAACGGACAGAAGCATGATTTCAAGCGAAATATAATATAATAAAATAAGTTTCTCAAAAATTTCCAATTTAGATAATAATGTATGAAAAATAGCAACCTCGTTATGCTAATTCTGATGTACAAATCTCTAAACTACACTAAAATCTCTAAACTCTTTCTAGCGATTACAATCTTAAATTATTAATAAAAATGTATTTATTACTGGGAAAATCCCTTATTTATATTAATCCCGTATTTCGAAAATATATTAGTGAATGGATTTTTGATGTACCTTAAAGATTAAATGTTGCTAAACCGGCATAGTAGTCGATTTCTGACCATTTTCGCGATATGCAGAGGCTGGGGCTATTCGTGGCAGGGACGGGATGCGCGGTGAGGTAATCGCCTCTATCGTAACTTTACGATAGTGCGTCAAGTATTCGTTTACAAAATGGTAATACTTCCAAATCGCTGCTGTAGGACAAAACGTTATGATCGTAGAACAATGTCGGAATTGAAAAAAAAACCCAAATCCACTTTTTATCATATTTGGATACTACATTGACTAAATATTACGGCTACATAAAAAAAACCATGTGTTTTAAATTTCAAATTAATCAGTCGGTAAAGTGACGGCTGTGATAGAAACGTGTGATTTTTCTAGAAAACTGTGTAATTTAATGTTATTATTTTCATTTTGTTTCAAAACCAACCCTTTTGTTTGCTTGTATGCCAATTTTCATAATAACAGAATATGAATTAAAATAGTTATGACAAAAACTAACATGATTATATTATTGAAATGGCTGCCCTGTAAAGTTTACTATTTGTCAAATCCGTCACTATTCTACGACTTTGACGAAAATGTAACATACAAAGATCTACTGTTACTATTCTATTACGTTAATTCGTCTTTTGATCACGTAGCGCGTGTTGTAAAAGGTTTGTGCATCAGAGTTAGCTAATGTATTGAGCACTTAATTTTATTACTAGCATTTGTAATTAATTATTCCGTCATTGTAATGACACTGTTACGTAGTTTATAGGCAGGCAATATTTTTGTTACTATTAATATAAGTTTAACTTTGTACGATAAATATTTTAATCAATAAATATTTAAAATTAATTTTAGTTTTATTTTGTATTTTTAGAAAGGTTTTATGTAAGTTATTGTTCATATACCAATTGATAGTTCAAGAACCGAATTTTATCTATAAAGATCTAACCTTGCCCATTAGCAGGAATGTTACATTATCACTTGTATTGTTATTTTTGGCTGTGTTTGTTCTATCATTCTTGTTTTCAGGTCAGTCACAAAGAAACAATCCTATAATGCTCGCTAAACATAGAATCTTGACTTTCATAGTCAACATTTGTGTTTTATTCATCTTCAGGCCTTCACCTTTAGGAAGATTTTAATTGGAATAGCGTCTTTAATGCTTAGCTATAAGGTGTATATCGCAATGCATAATAATTACGTAGTTCAGCTGTGACGGTCGTGGTAAATTAGATAAAAAATATCTTATCTAAAACTACTAATTGTTAATAAATTTCAGGTGGAAAGGATAATGGTCCGAGCGTTCCCGAAGCACCGAACCCCCGGCCCCCAGAGCCAAGTAGGCCTCCGCCACCGGCTAGACCTCCAGCGGCGCCCCATTACATGCCCCCGCAAGTTCCAGCTTCAGGCGGTCTATTTTCATCAATCAAAGATGGAGCTGGTAGCTTTCTCAAAAATCTGAAGGACACCTCGTCGAAAGTTATGCAGACTGTTCAACAGTAAGTTTTTTATAATTAATAGCGCTGAAATCATATGAATATTAATTTGATGCCGCTGAATTTTTGGAAAATTTATCAAATACTGAGATCGGGGTATCAGATGGCGTAATATGACATTTAATTACACTATTTATTCATAATTCACGTTTATATTCGTTAAAATTTTTTTGTTTAAAATATAAATGCTTACGTTCTATCAGCTGATAGTCACAAACTGTCATCACCTTCATAAACTCTAGAACAGTCTAAGAGTAAACTTCTACCTTAACTTTGTTTTTTTTTTACAGATTAAGGAGTTCGTACTTAACTCTATTTTTAACTTGTCTCTGAATCCGCCTTAGACTCTCACTAAGGAAATCTTTATTTTGTATATAAAAATTTAGGTAAAACTAAGCCATAACAATTTTCTTACAGGTCCATAGCAAGGGCTGATTTGGATATTAGCTATATAACAAGTCGTGTTATTGTTATGTCCTACCCTTCGGATTTACTCGAGAGTGCTTACAAAACTAACCATATTGAAGATGTTAGAGTGAGTTTCTATTTGAAATGGAGTTTTATTTATCATAATTAATGTACTTATGGAATATTTAATTTGTTAGAAAGCATGGTAACGGATGGACATAAGTCAGCCCGCGTTTAGATAATATTAATATATGAAAACCCAAATATAATATACAGATATAACGGGGCGTTCCCACTTTTGCATAGCCCAAGCCTATTATGGGCTGTCAATGTCAACTTGACACATAGTCAATGTCAAAATAAAAACTTTATTTTTATTTGTTATACTTGTAAAATAAATTAAATTCCGGCTGTACATCTTTATCCCAGGATACGATTATGAATCGAGACTTTTTAGGTATGACTTTTGTACGTCTTATCCATTTTTCCCAGACGGGTATTAAAATTAGCTCTTGGTCTAGGACTCTAAATATTAGGGCTAGACCATTGATATACAAAAACCCAAGATGCACAATCAACGTCTAAAAAACGTCCTCAAAAAATGAGCGCAACATTCTAAATTGTGCGCTCATTTCAAATAGTCTCGCGTCTATAAGTGGAGTCGATGTTATTTATTAGTGTTTTTTTTATAAATAAATTTATGTACTCTTGAACTTTTTTGTGTGTAGTTTTTGACAAATATATTTACGCTATATAAAGTGTGGGTCAGGAGGTAGCCAATTTAACATTTTTTTTTTAATTTAAAGAAAAAACTTTTTAACCGGATTAATGTTATGTATTATTATAAATTTACAACTATTTAACATCCAACACCTTTTGTCTTCAGTCACCGTGACCACGCACGCTGTAAAGCACCCGAAAAGTCGGATAAATTTAAAATTATGTTAAATAGTTGTAAATAAAAAAGTCATGTTCGACTCCACTCAATACCTTGTCCTACCGACCACGGTCGGTCGTAAAATTTTATTGCTTTAAGTACGTATACACTGCGTTGTAATAACAACTTTAAGCAATTCGCGTAAGGTTGATTTTGCAATAATATATGCTTGTAACATATACTGTTATGGACAGAAATAGTGTTTCGGGACACTTTCGAGCGTTACTTTTATTCGAGACTGTGCATCTTGGGTTTTTTGTATATCAATGGGCTAGACCCAAAAACCGATATGTATCACACAACAGGCACAGAAGGCTGATCACTTTATTTAGGTTTTGGCAAGGGGCCGTTCAAGTATTACGAAAGCAGATTTACTGCATTTTACAAACAGTAAGCAACCTTCTCAAAAATAATAGTACATAAACGTATTATTTTTTTTGTAATGATTCCATATAATGCGTTTCGTTTTCAAGCATAGACAATGTGTGGGTAATATGTGTATAAAAGTAAATAATTACTGTTGACGTAATCACCAAATAGTTTGGAAAATCCAAAAGTGCACGCCTCATAGCGGTCATTCACATTTATAAAAAAAATTCTAAAACAAAAATTCAAGTTTTTTAAAACAAAATAACAAAAAAATAAAATAAAATGAATGATTGAAAAAAAAAACAATAATATAATAAAAAAATATATAGTGGCGCCATAACTCTAAGGTGAGAAAAAAATATATATACTAAAATAAATGTATATATATATACAAATACACAGTCTTTTTTTAGTTTTTTACAAATTATAATTAAACGACAGTACTTAGAACGCTAATATTAACTAGGAATCAGCCCAGGGTATAACTTTATATAATAAGAAAAAAAGTATTCTGGTACGATAAATTTTTCGACCAATTTCTCTGCCACATACATGGATCCATAAACACAGACTGACGGACGTCCAAGAATGATTGATTTTAATGTTATTATTTACTATGTTAAACAAAATAATTGTTCATAAAAAATACCATATGTGCTTGATAGATTATTTAACTCGATTTTAGTGCACTCATATTATCCTGTAAGTGTTATATTAGTGAGAAAAAAGTCATTCAAGTTTCGAAAGACTGGGTTTTTTGACATGTCGAGAGTAGAGCACTGCGAGGCGTGCAATAAGAAAATCAAAGACCCCCTCCCCATATAGTGCTTACGTAATACCAACATACATCAAAGATACATGCAATCTGAGATAAAAACCCATAATATAAGATTTACTAGTATTTATTTATACTTGCAAAGTTTAATAATATCTTATTTCCGGTGGTCTTTTTCAGTTATATCTCGAAAGCCACCACCCAGGTGGAAAATACTGTGTCTATACAGTTCACGATGCGAAGGCCAGGTTTCCGAGACGACAGCTAGTGACGGACACATCTGTGTGGCCCACTGAGGAACATCGAGCGCCTTTATTGGCACCGTATTACGCGTTGTTACAACATATGTATCAGTATTTGGGAAAGGACGATAAAAGTGCGCTCGTTATTGCGTGTCCGGTGAGTTATATTAAGTTGTATTTTTGATAAACAGTTAGTCTAGCCAACATTCACTAAAAACCATAACATTAGGTGGAAGGTGGTTATACAGGGGAAGGTGATTATACAGGTTGGTCAAAAAGTAGTGGATCAAACGCAAATAGGGGATAGATGAGGTCAGCAGCTGCAAAAAATTGTTCTACGGGAGGTCCCTAAGCTCAACCCCTGCAGAGTTATAATTTATTTTGATACGTTTTTATAAGAAAATTGACTTTTTTATAACTTATTTTACTAATTCTTATTAAAATTCTCAAATCTTGCTTTTTTTTTTTTTTTCTTTTCATTTTTCTTTCCCTCCCTCTTCCTTTTCCCTTTCCCTTTTTTTTTTTTTTTTTTTCTTCCCGTTTTGCTTAAAAAAAAAAAAAAAGGGGGGGAAAAAAAAAAATTTTATTTGTTTTATTTTTTTTTTTCCCCCAAAAAAAAAAAAAAACAAAAAAAAAAAAAAAAAAAAAAAAAAAAAAAAAAAAATAAAAAAAAAAAAAAAAAAAAAAAAAAAAAAAAAAAAAAATTTTTTTTAAAAAAAGGGGGGGGGGGGGGGGGGCTGGGGGGGGGTTTTTTTGGGGGGGGGTTTCTCTTTTTTTCCCCTTTTTTTGTTTTTTCCCTTTTTTTTGGCCTTTTTTTTTACTCCCCTTCCCCGTGTTTTTTGTTTTCTTTGTTTTTTTTTTTTTAGGGGGGGGGGGTTTTTTTTTTTTTAAGAAGGTTTTTGGGGGGGAGAAGGGAAGAGTGGGGGGAAGATTTTTTTAAAATTTTTTAAAAAAAAAATTTTTTTTTTTTTTTTTGATAAAAAAAAAGAATTTTGGGGGGTTTTTTTTTATAATTAATCAATCTGAACTCACTGTCTGTGCAAATAGAGATCTATTTTTATTTTTTACTGTTACCACTGCTATAAGGCTGCACTCCACTCAATGAACTAGATGCGTGTTATTGTTTTAATGTAGATGTTCTTTTTATACAATGCAAGAAGAAAAATATATCTCATAATATATGAAGAACGCTTGTCAGCCGTCTCTTACCCGCAAACTCTCACATACACACACAATTTCTGAAATTCTCTAAGTTATATAACCTACGTTTCTAGTTATACCATTGTAAAAATTTACAATTTTCAGGATGGTAAATCAAGATCGGCGATGCTTCTATGTGGTCTCCTTCTATACGCGAAATTAGTAACGGTCCCCGAAGACGCGCTACAAATATTTGCTGTGAAGCGATCGCCTATTAATATGTCGCCAAGTCAGCTGCGATACTTATACTACCTTCATAATATAGTCAGGTAAAGATTATATTTTGATACTATTAAAACTAATTGAGTCTTTAATGGTATAATGTTTTATTATTATTAAAATGAGTCAACTATTATACTTATTACTGAAGTGTTAACTTTTTATAGGAGGCTAAACCGCTTCGTTACGTAACGCGTTACGGCACCAGTCTGCGTATTTTATATATTTATTTATTTTTTCCAGACCCGAACCTGTGTTACCACATTTTAGACCAGTATCTTTAGTTTCGTTAACCATTCAACCAGTGCCATTATTTACGAAAGCCAGGTATGTATTTTTGCTTTGTTCCGGTAAATGTATATCATGAATGAAACAATTTGTTGCTAAAATAATTACTGGTCTATTTTAAACTTAGTTTTTAAAACTAAATAATTAGCAATAATTACAGTTTATTATTTTATAAAAATAATTAAATCAATATAATAAACCTTTAAAACACTAATTTCTATCCAATTCCCAATTAAAACCTAAAAATATACTAATAAAATGCTTCTTATAAGTATTCTAGTGCCAGGCCAAAACTTGCGTCTTTTTCCATAGACTCTCAATCCTATAATTAAATAAAACATTACAGATATTTAACAATTTAAAAGAAATATAATTATTTTTTTACATGTACATATGTAAACAAATATATTATGAGATCGGTAACTTAACTACTGTAGTTACTACTACTATACTATAGTACGTAGCTATAGTAGTTATCACAATTATGTCTAAAAATATTCCGGAAGTATAACTATATATTTGGCTATAGTATATTTACTGGTAACAGATAGTGAAATTATTTTATAATTACAGTTATTAACATGTGTTAACAAATAACTATAAAATTTGATCTATTAAAAATTTACTTTAAGTAAGTAAAAATTAAAATAATATATTTGAAAAGTTTTAATTAGGTTAAATACATTTATATCAATTTTATATTAAATTAAGACACCAACTAAACAGCAGGCAAATTGAATCTGTCATACAACCCGAACAATAAAAAACCTGCTCTGGGGTGCAGTTAACTATGATTATGGCAACACTAAGTATACATGCAAATTGACGTTCAAGTATTTAAATACATACAAAAAAACCTATTGCGGAAATGAAGTTTAATTTGGCATAGCTTAATAATTGTCCTGTTGGAGTAATGACTTCCAGCTAATATTGCTATTTTAATAATATTACTCAGGGATGGCTGTCGACCCTACCTCGAAGTGTATAACGAAGATAGACTTATATCTCCTCCGCTGCGAGGCTACGAAAGCTTACATTTGTACAATATGGCGGAAGGAAAGGTGATTATGTCGTCTACATAGGCTAACACAAATGTTATTCGTAATAGAAATAATATAATAAAGATGCGTAATACAGAAATGAATCAATTTTAGTGCACTTAGTAAGCGCCCATAACTTAACTTTTGATTAAAGAATTGTCCAGTGTTATAAATATATAATCAGAATTAAAAATTAAAATTTTATGTTGGCTACCTTCAATAGAAGAAATATTTTTTCCTCTGAAATAAAGAATTATGAAATTTGTTTACTAATTAAAAAAATATATTTATTAATACAGGAAATGTACACTTAACGTAAAAGAAAAATTAAGTGGGTATTTCAATTTTTTTTAATATATGACTTATTTAAGGATGTACTGCGCGTTATTCTCGCTTTAATGTAAATGCGTGCCTAGTGCGCCATGATTATTGCTAGTAGAGGCTGAAATATTTTTTTTAATTTTTTAAATTGAAACGTGTGGAGCAAATTGTAATGTTTGCAACTTCTTACAAGTATCGTGCTAACAAAAATGGCAATTTAAAGAGGTGTCGTCTTCTCGTTCGACGTCCATTTTTATTGGCGCGGTAATCTCTTGAATTTTGACAGTCTCATAGTCTTCTTTTTCGGTCTGGTGTTTTATAAGAATTCCTGGTATCAGGTAACACTGCCCTTGGATGCCACAGTGTCTGGTGACGTGGTAGTGGTAGCATACCACGCGCGACAACAGCTCGGACGACTCCAACGAGTTCCGATGCTTTCCGTCTCCTTCCATACCGGTTTCTTGGCGTACGACCAGCACATTATTAAATTTACTAGGTAAGTTCTATATTTATTAGAATTTTTTGCATTCGACGCATACCAAAATGCCATAGGTATTTGAGACGTTCTTGTAAAAAAAAGTGCGTGCGTACAAAGTACACATGTGAGAAGTGAAATTTCTTCGGCAAACTAATTTTTAACTCTTGTTCATTATATACAAATCTAAAACTTTAGATTTTCGAGACTTGGAGGGAGGGAAAAGGAAGATATGTTAAGTCATTGTCATTAAAAGTAGCGAAAATTTATACAAAAAATAAATTTAATTTTTTTAATTTATTTCTTCGTAATATAAACACGTGGCATTTTAATTTACAATTCGTCATTTGAGATTTCAATAAATTATTTTGTATAAAATATAAAATACTAATATTTCATAAATTCTCTTTACGAAATTTTAATTTTAAAAATAAAATTTCTATAAGGTAATTCGCCCTTCTCACTCTCTCAATCGGTCTCAATCTCTCTCCCTTTTCTTCGACAAAAACGCTGCACATCTTCGTGACGTTCCGTAAAAATTTTACCCTCATGCACCTAAAGAAGTTTCACGTCAAAAATTGATGTAAATCTCAATCCTACGAAAATAACGATTCATTTAATATTTTTTCAGATCTGAAATAGACGGCATAGACGAAGCATCACCCGTGAATGACCACTTTTCATCGAACGTGTCAGTGGTTATAAGCCTAGTGGTTCAAAATGGCGAACGCCGCAAACCACGAAGCGATGTGTGGGAAGAAGACCATTCCTTCCCCATACGAACGTCCGACGTATTATTCTCTTCTACGTTGGAGAGAGATGAAACTGTTGATAACTTTGGTAAGTATTTCTCGCTCGTTTTCTTCTTAGTTATTTTCAAGTTAAACAAATTTGAAATAAATTTTTGAATTATAAATGTTTGTTAAATAAACATTTTCTGGAAAAAGGCATATTTTTTTTTTCATTATGCTATATTTAGTTCGTGTCGTAATCTGTTCTTTGTTCAAAATAATTGCGATATATGCCAGGCCTCCCGTGACTGCTTACAATTTTTCTATTCATATTCTGTATAAAAACTAAATCAGTCTTGGCAAATGCGTTTTCATATAAAGTATTTACGTATACGAATGTGTACGTTAGTTAATCTATAGTTATTAGATTTTGCTTGTCTAAGGACTGTGTCGTTTTATAAAGGCCATTCTTCCAATTTTGCTACGTGGCTAGGTTACTAACATTGAAATCTTTAAAATTGTAAATAAACTGCTGCAGATGTAAGGTAAATTTCTTTTTTAACAAATGGTTTACCCGTGTGGTTAAACTTTCAATATCGACACTACTATGTAGATGATATGATGACTTTCATATTACGTTTTTTACGAGGCATAAGAGTCGCGTCATCCAGTTTTCTGGATGAATCTTGCTTTAGACAATGTGTTAATATGGAGGAGGCTTTTACCATACGCACAACGGACCCAGTGAGAGTCTAAGTGCGGAAACTGAGTCCACAACCCAATTTACCCTAAAAGGGGTACATACATACGAATACTAGAACTTTAAAACTAACTTTAATTTTTAGAACTTATACTAACACTATTTATAATACTAAGAAATGTAAACTAAACAATTATTGTATGGATTAATTATTAAAGCTGATAATAATAATAGAGCTTCAAGGTTTTACACGATTTTATTGTAATTAATAGATATATAATATTTATATAGTATATACTCTGATTTTTAATTCCGTAGAAAGCTATCATTTTTTGACATTTCAGAGATTACAAACCTTTTTGGCCGGGAAAATTTTTCAACTTCATTACGAGTCAACATCTGACTCTATACAAACATTTTGTTTGAATGTATCCATTTTCTTAAGTGCGTTGCTCAACATTAAAAGTGGTTTTACGGCGACTGATAATTACGTACCTTGTCATCACAAACAGTAAAAAACGCACACGTAAAGCATTTTTTTTAAAGGTTTATAAACCTGGAATTAGTTGGCAGTGATGCCAGCTAAAGAATAAAATTAATTCGATATACTGTTCGTGATATTGAAATATTTGTTATTTTTGTATTAGGGGTCACTTGAGTAAGTAAATATTAAGATATAGTAGCATTTTATTTATTGCCCTAAAATGGGTCAAATTTGTCGCTTTTTCGGTGGAAAACATTTTAAGGGCAACATTTATGAAATTTCAGAATTCTACGGAATTAAAAATCAGAGTATAAGTTAGTAGGACAAAAATGTGTTAATTTCTCTACAAATTTTAATATATATTATTATTATTAATATTCAGCTAATCTCCGAAGCAACCCGCCGGCGGTACCGCCCACAAGTATGTAACGCTTGTAGAGTGCATGCCTTTGGGTTTATATTTTTATGAACGATGTTATATATAAAACAATTGAAATTATGTTATATTTAGTAGTTATTGATCATTTCGTTCATCATCATAAATGCACTCAAGCTTAATGAGACTATTTAATCACGCGATTTCAAAATGCAAGCATTTTTTGGTTGTTTGAATGCTTTAGGGCAGATGTAGTGATTATTCTAGTACGCAATTAACTCTTGCACCTATATGGAGAAGAATTCGAGAAGACACCGGCATGCCATAATTAATTTGATATTCTCTGTATTATCATTTAGCGGTCATTATCAATATAAAATAAGTAACAAGAATTTAAGAGATAAAACAGGGTTTGCTGACGCTGTACAATAAAACAAAAGAACTAAAATGGAAATGGGCTGGACAGGTATGTCAATTTTGCCATTTATCTGCTCCTCTTATTACCATAAGGGAGCAGATAAATGGAGCAAAATTGTAATACTATGGCAACCAAGAGGCCATAAACGAAACAGAGGTAGGCAATTTAAAAGGTGGGCCGATGAAATCATGGAAATGGCTGGAAAGATTAAAACCTGGACGAGATTGGTATACAATAAGGAAAAATGGAGGACAATGGGGAAGGCCTTTGGCCGTAGGCACACAGAATCAGTCATCGTAGATTGAGAAAAACAATATTTATAATGTATATATTTTGTATTTCTGATATAAGGCTATAAATAAATAAATAAATCAATATAAAACTTATATTTCCAAACTTTTATATCTTATAATAAAAAATCAAAATTTGTTAAGTCATTTATAGATAGGTATTTGCACTATTGAATGTCGGAGTGTTTGATATATATCCTGGAATATGTTACAAGTTATTTTGATTAAATATCTTTGAATAGGCAGCATTAGACAAGTGACAAATATCTTTCAGTCACAGCGGACTATCCTCCGAGGGAAGCGGAGAAGCCGCCTCGTCCCGCACCCCCCTCCCCGCAAAGAAACTTCGCGCCAAAAGAAGCCGTCCCAGATACAGATTTCCTCAATATAGCGAAACAAGGGGAAGCTAAACCGAAACAATTGAAAAGCGAAGATTCGTTTGATTTCTTCGGAATGATGGAGAAACCGGCTGATGAGAGCTTTGGCGATTTCTTGAGTAAAAAGATTGAAGATAATCCACAGGTGAGTTGCAACTGGAATTTTTTATAACCATTTAATATATTGCCGAATTATAGATAGGTGATACCGCCCATGCACACTCACATTGCCAGAAGACTCGCAAGTGTGTTTCCGGCCTTTAAAAAATTGGTACGCTCTTGAAGGACCCTAAGTCGAATTGATTCGGTAATTATCAAATATTCGTATTGCGAATGTCTAAATTCAGTATCAAAATGAAGAAAAAAAAACGGAAAGCTGTTGCTAATTTTATTCTAACATTTTCGACTATGTATTTGCGTATTGTTCCCACGAGAATGTAAGTGCGTGCTCCTATTTCACCATGCCTACTGGCTTACTTATATATACTTTTTAATTATTAATACTGTTAATTACATAAGGTGTCATGTGGGACATGGTGTAATGGTTGCAGCTCCTTACAAACATTTTGTAAAACAAAAAACTTGTCGATTAAAAAGAGTCGCGGAGAGTTTATTGCCAGTTCTTCTCGTCCGTTCTACGCCCTTGATTTGAGAACTGGCAGTAAATGTGTAAGACGCATTTAATATGTATTTCTTTATTGACGTTCATTAGTGTTGTAATAGGATGAGGGTAGAAACAAAAAAGACAGACACGGACGGTGATTGCCGTAGATTGGACGTGTTAAAGATATAAATTCCCAAATTTGATCTTACACAAGAGTGTAATATCAAATTTGGGATTTTGAATTTCGGTCATAACTTGAGGGGTATGTTTCATTTAATTATTATTGTATGGTTTAGTTTTATTTTGGTTGTGAAACAATCTGAAATGTTTTATTTGTTTTACCTTTGGGAAATGCCCTCAAATTAGATGTTCATTTATTGAATAACAAATTGACTATAATGTTTATGTGATAAACGTTACCACATATATTAGGTTTGGCAGGATAAACCTAAATCCTCCTGGCGCCCACATTTATGTATTTGTTAGTTAATTTTAAGATTTACTCTAATATATTTTAGTTATTGTATTTAGCTAGTTTATAAATATCCTAATATATGCTAATTTGTTTTATTATGTTAAAGACCCATAATATGGCGCCCAACGTGCAAATGGGTTTGTAAACAAAAGTTTAAAGATATTGTCAAGTATGTTTCTTATAAAAAATAAATGCACATAAGTTTAAAAATTTAAAGTAGTAAATAATATTATTTTATAGTTGTAACATTTAAGGTTAAGTATAATGATTTTATATTGTATTTATGTATAATTTTGTTTTCTTTAAAAAAAAAAAAATATATTTTTGGGTTTTTTTTTTGGGGTTTGGGGGGGGGGTGGTTTTTTTTTTTGGTTTTGGTTGCTTTGTTACCAAGCTATATTATTATTGAGCCTTGCATTGTTTGCCTCTGCATTGAGACTAATTTTAAGAAAGATGATGTTTGTTGAACAGTCACAAGAAGTGTCTTATGAAATAAAATTACCTTCTGGTTATATAAAGAACCCTAATAAAGACCTAGACGTTTGTTCGAATAAGCTAGATACTATTTTGCGTTACATTTCTGAATTAAATGAAAAACCTGATAAACAATTATATAAACGATTAGTTTCACGCTTGTCTCATATTGTAAATAGGTTAAATTTAATGGAACCTTTAGATGAAATTGATAAGGACAAGCGTACAGTTCTTATAGATAAGGCTATCGTTCTTCTATCTGAATTAGAAAATAAGTACGAGATAGAGGATGATGATAAGATAACTTCTGAAATGAAAGAACTTTTACATAAGTCGATCGGTGAGGATAGTAAAAAAGTTTTAAATGAAATTGATAACGATTGTCCAAGTACATCAATTGGGGAATATAAAACTACACTACCTAATAATGACAATATAGCTTTATTGAATCAACAAAAACGGGTTAGTTTTGGACACGATATATTTGAGGAAGGTCATCTTTCTGACAAGTTTATTAATTTGCCTTTAAATTCTACGTCGCGTGAAGATTATAATACAATTCGTAAAAATAAACTTGTGCCAATTAGTCAATGCGGGGTTTATTTTTCCGGCGATGGTAAGTTTAGTGTAAATGCTTTCATTGAGCGTGTGTTCGAACTCAAAGATGCTAGAAATGCTACAGATGAAGATCTTTGGAGGCATGCTATAGATTTCTTTAAAGGAGACGCCTTAATTTGGTTTCGTGCCAACAGAGAATATATTAGAAACTGGGAGGAATTAGTGTCAATACTGAAGCGTACGTTTCAATCCCCTTTTTATCAGGAAGAGTTGTTGGCAGAGGCCAGGTCAAGAACTCAAGGTAGTAATGAATCTGTTTTAATATTTGTTTCGGTCATGCAAAATTTATTTAATCGGTTACCAATCAAAATTACAGAAAGAGAAAAGATTTCGGTTTTTGTTAAGAATCTTCAGCCATATTTTCAAAGGGCAGTCTGTAGGGATGAGTTTGATTCGGTTGCTGATTTAAGTAATATTCTTAGAGTGGTGGAAAGAACAAAGATTAATTGTGATAAATTTCAAGAACCAAAAAGTTGTCTCAATTATTTAGAACCGGATTTAGCTTATCAAAATCCTAAAGGAAATATAACGGACGAGTTAAATTATATTAAAAGTAATAAAAGCATGATGAAAATTGTTAAGAGTATGAGGTGTTGGAATTGTCGAGAAGTAGGGCATTTATTCAGGTCATGTAAAATACCCAAACAACGGCTATTTTGTTATGCTTGTGGTCGTTTTGGTGTGACGTTAAAAGATTGTATTTGTAAGGGAAACGAAAAAAGGGAAACTCAAGGACCTGCCAAATGAGTGTTCCCTGTAGTAGTAAAAATAAGGAATGGCAGGATTGGTTAATGTTTGTTCATAATGTCATGTCTTCAAAAATAGTTTCTTCTTTAACTTTTAAAAAGGAATGTGACAACAGGTCGTACGTGAGTTTGGATATTTTAGGTAGGAAATTTAGCGGGTTATTAGATTCGGGGGCTACGAGGTCAGTGATTAATTTGGATATGGCAAGGAAAATTAAAGACATGGGCATAGAGTCTCAGACAGTTGGTCTGAAGCCTATATATATTTCCACTGCAGATGGATCAAACCATTGTATTCGTGAATTATTAGATGTGCCAATTGGTTTTAATAATAATTTTCATATTATACCGATATTTGTTATGCCGCATTTGTCTCAAGAATTGATTTTAGGTAAAGATTTCTTTATTAAATTCGGTATTGAGTTTCATTTTAAGAGGGAATGTCCTAATTTAGATTCCTTGTCGAGTAATTCGTCAGCTCTCATTGGTTGTGTTGATTTGGATGAAGATCAGATAAGTCGGTTACAGAGTAAAATTAGTGCTATAGAAAATTTGATTGGCATGGGTTTAGGTAGAACTAATATTTTAAAACATTTCAGATTGTTTCACAACCAAAATAAAACTAAACCATACAATAATAATTAAATGAAACATACCCCTCAAGTTATGACCGAAATTCAAAATCCCAAATTTGATATTACACAAGACACAATTTATATCTTTATCACGTCCAATCTACGGCAATCACCGTCCGTGTCTGTCCTTTTTGTTTCTACCCTCATCCTATTACAGTGTACATTGTGTTATCTAATGAATAAATGAATTAGAATTAGACTACAGGGTCTGTAATATTGTTTATTTTTTCACGGTTTCAGCCATTTTCTGAGAACATATTCGGAGATTTGCCCCCACCGCCGACCAGTGTGGCACCAAACGCCAATTCCAGTGATCTCAATTTCGATCCGTTTGGCTTAAATGATCCTTTGCCGAAACAAGAACCGCTGTTAACTCCGCAATTGATTAAGGAAGAAGGTATGATGCAATCTTTATGGTTTCATTGTCTCTTATTAAGGATTTGTGTTTGTCTCGATAATTTTTGTAGGCGAAAGTTTTCTTCAACTTAAAGTTATGAATTGTGATAATGTAATTGTATCAATTGAAAAGCCGGCAACGCACTTGCGAGCTGGCAAAGTAAGAGTCTTGGTGGCGGTATCGCCTAACATCAGATGAGCCTACTGACCGTTTATCCCGTTATATGGAAAAAAACAAACACGTGAAATTTATTATTTGGATTGCATAGAAAATATATACAGCACTTGCAAATTTGAACTTTTAAGTAAGTTTCTTTAAGCTCTGCATTCTGTCAGTTTATTTAAAAAACTTTGAATTAAATTCGTCTCAAAAATAATTTATTATTTTTGCAAATACTCATTGTTTTAAACATTTTTTTATTTAAATTCAAGTATGTATTTTTAAACTCAGTGTTTTATAGTTAGTTTATTAACTAAATGGTTTAAATTTAATTAAATTCTCATTTATATCATAATTGATATGTCTGTTTATAGGTCGTTCTCAAAGCGTTCCATTAGAAAAGGCGCAAGCGAGAAATGATCCTTTTGCTGATCTAGGTTCTTTGGGGACAGGATTAAATAATCCTCCCAACGTAACACCGAACGTCGCCCAACCAACACCAACGGCCCCTGCGTTTGCCAGCGTCGGTCCTTCCCCAACGACTACTGGAACCGCGTTCGCGAACGTTGGCCCGACCCCTCCAACTAATCCAACCGCATTTGCCAATGTTGGCCCTTCGCCATTGGTTACTCCCAGAGCGTCTCCTGCGCATACTCCGTCGCATCGGGCGCATACGCCACAACAGCCTGATTATAGGTAAGCGTATTTAATTGCAGCAATAAAAAATATTTAAATTGTATACATAGCTGACCCGGCAAACGTTGTTTTGCCATGTATTTCTAAAAAAAAAATTTTAGTTCAATAACTATCTACTTAATAAAAAATAGAGGTTGATCTTAGAGGGGTGAAAATTAAGGGTGGTATGTATTTTTCAATGCCACATAATAAAAAATAAAGATTATCCAAAAAATGTAAAAAAAATTTGGGGTGGGCACCCCTTATCACTTAGGTGTTTGAAAGATAGTAGCCGATTCTCAGACTTGTTGAATGTGCATAAAAAATTTCATAAGAATCGGTTGAGTTTCGGAGGAGTATGGAAACGAATATTGTGTGTATATAGTAGGGATAGATTAGTCTGTAAAAAAAAAAGGATTTAATTAATACATGTATGTATGCACTCCAACATAACACTATGAATTTGCGTGTTGTTCCCACGAGAATGTAAGTGCGTGCTCCATGCCTCCTGCTGATAGAGGACAAATCTTTGTTTTTAATTTATTTTATTATTATTTATTATTTAAGATGTCATGTGGAACATGGTGTAATGGTTGCAGCTCCTTACATACGTTGTGTGAAATAAAAAACTTGGCGATTAAAAAGAGTGGCGAAGAGTTTTTTGCCAGTTCTTCTCTTCCGTTCTACGCTCTTGATTTGAGAACTGGCAATAAATGTAAAATTAGAAGCATTTCATATGTATATTTTTTTGACGTTTATAAGTACATTGTGTTACCTATATGAATTAATGTATCTTAACATAATTCTAACCAATGCGTTGTACAAGCTTAAGATGGCGTTCATGTTAGTAAACGTTATTGCCCCTAGACATTATTGGACATTTAATCTTTGCTTATTTATTCAAAAATATACTTTGACAATCATTTGATGCATTGGAAGGGATGAAAAAAATATTACCTAATTTACAGCCGAAGCCATTTCGATGCACCAAAACCAGCCGAGGAGAAAGTTAAGAAGCCGGGGGATGTGTTCGGAGACCTTCTTGGAAGTCAGGGATACGACTTCGCGAAACGTGACTCCGGTCCGAAGACAATGAACGCCATGAGGAAAGAGGAAATGGTGAAAGAAATGGACCCGGAAAAGCTGAAGATTATCGATTGGGTATGATTTTTATAATTAATGAAGACTGGATATTGACGTTGCGCCTACCCGCAATCCACTTTAATCGATTATTGTTCAAGATTTGTTATTTATTAAAAATACTATTACATTTAAAAGACAAGCACTAAAGAGCTCAAAATTTAAAGAAACTTGTCGGTCCACGACACGAAAAAACATCCGTTATAGGATATATAGGTCGGTTATCGAAAGCTGGCGGGTTCACAGTACTCACACTAATGCAATTTCACATACAGTATGTTTCAAAATATGATTTTTTTACCAAGCTATATATTTTAGTCCACTCTGGTTTTAGTAAGGTTGGGTGGGTTGTAAATAAATAAAAATGTGTCAAATACATATAAATATTAGGTGCATACGAGGGTGGATCCAAAAGTTCTAAGCCAGACCAAGAACGTGAAAGAGTAGTTCGTGTAAATAATTTTTCATTTTTCGACATACGCTCCATCTAGCCATGACTTTGTTGGTCGACAAAACGACCTTAGCCGTTTTCGGAGTAGGTGATCCAGATATTTTCCATTGTTTGGACTGTTGCTTTGATTCAGGAGTATGGTGGTGAACCCAGCTTTCAACAAATCAAAAAAAAAAACAAATCAGCTTTCAGCATCTGATGTCAAATGAAATATAACATTTTTTCATTGAACTGTTTTTATTAAGATGCTTAAAATAATTAAAAACATTGTGCACCATTTCACGAGATTGCCTTGGTAATGTTTGAAAAAAGATCAACATGTACGTAGTTGGTCCCAAAGTTCTGTCACTGGCACATTATTTTTAAATTACGAACATGATTTTATAAAAAAATTATTGCATTCTATTTTTGATTGTTTGACTATTGTTTTAAAACAAAAAACAATCACTTTCCGTAAATTTTCAAGATGGAGTGGACATTGAAAGAAAACCGAATAGCTGTTATTGCGTTGCACCGCTGTGGGCACTCGGCGAGTACCATTTTCAAGTTGCTCAAAAATTTAAATATAACGCTTAGGTTTGTGTACCGTACTATTGATAGGTACAATGAAGTCTCCAGTGTTGAGGACAAGAAAAGAACTGGCCGGCCACGCTCCGCAAGGACACCAGCAGTGATCAAAGCTATCAAGGCGCGGATAGCAAGAAATCCTGTCCGAAAACAGAAGTTGATGGCTTTGCAGATGGGTGTCAGTAGGAAAACAGTAAAAAAGGTTTTAAATGAAGATCTTGGTCTACGGGCATACAAAAGAAAGAGTGGGCACCTACTTAATGCTCGTCTAAAAGCAATAAGGCTTAAGAGATCGCGGGGTTTGTTAAAGCGGTACGCGAAAAACCGACACCGTGATATCCTCTTTACGGACGAAAAATTTTTCGATATTGAAGAGAAGTACAATAAACAGAATGATAGAGTGTACGCTAGGAGCTGAAGAAGCTGGAAATAAAGTTCGAGGGTGCAACATGGACATCATCCATCATCAGTAATGGTCTGGTTGGGAGTTTACGGGCCAACTGAGGTTCATTTTTGCGAAAAGGGGGTCAAAACCAGTGAAAAAGTGTATCAAGACACGGTTTTGGACCAGCTTGTCAAAGACCTGCCCAGCACGCTATTTTCGGGACATCACTTTGTGTTCCAACAGGACTCTGCGCCTGCACACAAAGCCAAGACCACTCAAACCTGGTTTGAGCGTCAAAACATCGACTTAATTAGACATGAGGATTGGTCTTCCTCCAGTCCAGACCTTAATCCTTTGGACTATAAAATTTGGCAGGTCTTAGAGAGGAAGGTCTGTGATAAACCCCATAAAAATTTGGAGTGTCTGAAGTCATCTTTAAAAAAAGCAGTCACTGAAATCGACATGAATATGGTGCGTGCTGCGATAGACGACTGGCCGCAGCGCTTAAGGGCCTGTATTAAAAATAAGGGAGGTCATTTCGAATAATTTTATGCTATTTCTATTTCTTAATTTATGTACTATTAATTGATATATCACTCATTAAAAACAGATCAGTACTTTAGTTTTTATCATTATTTCTATTTATGACAGAACTTTGGGACCGACTACGTATAGTAAAGATCAACATAAACAGTAGCAAAAGCAAAACAATAACTGTCTCTTTTATACTCATAAGCTTGAGCGAGCGCGAGAGAGACGGACAGTCTTTTCATGATGTATTTGTGATTGAATTTCAGTTTGACATCACGCCTCGCACTTATTCACAGACACTACACAAGCACAAAGTGTAAATGTGTTGAAGCCGCCAGCTTTAAATAACATACCAATAACAATATGTATTGTTTAGGTTTCAGTTATATAAAAAATATATTTCTTCGTATTGCGTTTTAACCTATAAGAATTTATTTATTTATCAATAAGGACATATGACATCACAATAAAAGGCACGATAATCTTAACTCTGCAATTAGGAGTACACACACATTAAATTAGAATAATTTAAAAATTATTTTCAAGCTAACAAAACCCGGAAATGATTAAATTCAATAAAAATATTATGTGCGCATTTAACATTCGCTCGAACGGTGAAGGAAAACATCGTGAGGAAACCGGCTTGCCTTAGACCCAAAAAGTCGGCGTGTGTCAGGTATAGGAGTCTGATCACCTACTTGCCTATCAGATTGACATTATCACGAAATACAGAAATCTGGGGCCAAGACCTAAAATGGTTGTAGCGCCACTGAAGTTTTTTTATTATTTTAGTACTACGTCATCACAATAACAATATTTGAATAATTCGACTCTTGAGTTTTCGAATTTTGAGTTCTAGTGTTAAACAGTTATTAGACTTTATGAAACTCATGGAAGTGCTACAAGAATAAAGATTCGTGTTTTGTACGACAATTCCCTATGTATTTAACTAATGTTATTTAAACCAGACGGAGGGCAAGAAGGCAAACATCCGCGCCCTGCTCTGTTCGTTGCATACAGTCGTGTGGGAAGACTGTCGGTGGACACGCTGCGACATGTCCCAGCTGGTGACTCCCGCAGACGTCAAACGAAACTATAGGAAGGCGTGTCTCGCTGTACATCCTGATAAGGTGATTTATTTATCAGATTTAAAATTCTTCTCAGTCAGACCCCCCCATGTAACGCGCCGTAACGTTTTTCTGTACCCGAGTATAGTAAAACGTTTCGTGACCACCTAGTGACTCTTTATACCTAAAAGTTACCATTATGTAATGTAAAGTAATGGAAAATCGAAAATAATATAATAATAACGCGTAATTAAATCCCCGCCCCGCATCGTAACGTTTTACAAAACTCCTCCCCCAAAATTTGTTACGTAATACTTGAACGCTCCCTTAATAAACAATAAAAGTTTCATCGAAATTGGTTTAGTCTTGATACGGGTAAAGGCTAAATATTATTTTCGACTTTCCAGTACTTTATACCACATAAAGGTCAGGAGAGGTCAATAATCTCCAAAAATTACGTGACGTAATCCTTGAACGCTCCCAAGTTACTAATTTTGTTGATAAACATACATACACTTGCGGAATTTAGCACTTGTCTAAACAGATCGTACTCAAATGTTATTCACGATAATATTCAAAGTGAAGTTGGGTAAAAAAGTCTTTATATTAACTAAATCTCACTTATACAGTTTTTAAGGAAATTGTATCTCGTCGATTTGTGTTCATATATAAACGCAATAGTTCTGTGATTAAAATTAATTTAATTTGGTTTTGAAATATTAATTTTCTCAACTTAAAAGTATTAGTGTTTTTTGTATTGGTGGATGGTAACTAACTCATCCGATTTGGATATTCTTCTTAAATATTTATTTTGCCTACATTATTGTTAATCTACTCTATCTAATCAACTCTTTGAACTCTACTCTATACTTTCCCCGATAATTGCATGTGAAATATTTGTTTACAGCAAATGGGCACTCCGAACGAAAATATAGCAAAAATGATATTTATGGAACTAAATAACGCATGGAGTGAGTTCGAGAATGACACCAAACAACAAAATCTATTCCAGACATAAATGGTCGCTGTCCTGCTCATTATAGTCCCATATGAGAAGGAAAGCAATATCTAATTATACTCAATATTTTTGCTGCAGCTAAAAACAATTAATATTCCATGTTTTTTTTAAAGTTTCCGTAAAAATTTCGATTTATTTGTTTACTTGCTTAGTTTGTACATACTCCTTTTTGTTTAATTAAAAATTCGCCTCGAAATAGTTTAAGTTCGACAGTGTTGCTGGTTTCGTTAAGATAACATAATATTAGAATTATTTATTTCGCATTTCATTATAGCAACATAAGTACATTTAGACGCAAAAATCGTAACCTGAAAAAGCTTCTATTCCATTGGGTTATGGCAAGTTTATATGTACCCTTAGGACGAACAATACGTAGAATCCAATAGATAATGTGTAAAACACAACAATGATGTCATAACAACTTATATTTAAATAGAAAAATTCTATATTTTCTGTCCTTCAAAAACGTAACTGTCAAAAACTGACGTTCACCTTCTACTTGTCAAAACTATCGTAAAATTGTGCTGAGAATAATGTCATAGAGTATAAAACAGATAGTATTATCTATAGTTTAGTCAAATGTAGCTTTCGTATATAATTTAATATTGGATATGTTCTGTGCGTATCTTAAAAATATAGATAGTCTGATTTGGTACTTACGATTTTGTGGTGGTAAATTAATTTTCAGAGATTCTAGTATTTCTTTGTATCGAGAATTAAAAGACTTAGTTCAAGAAATTATTTAGTAATATAGTATGTTTCCTCTATTGCGTGTATATAGTTCAAGATTTATAGATAAGCTTTAGTTGCGCCCGCGCTGCTGTTTACGAAACGATTTGGTGAATGGTATATTTTCTCATATAAGATGTAGCAAAGTTATTCCTTTAGAACGATTAGTGGTTGGTAGTAACTCCTAAACATTGTATTGAGCTTAATTTTTTATACATTCCGATGTCTGGTCAACTATATTTGTTAATTAAAAACGACAATTAATGCGTTAAAATAGAGTTGTCATGCAAGAAATGGGACTGATTCTCCCGCTTTTTTGTATTTCTGTATCAAATATTTGGAACATTTTTGTGCATGTTACAATTATTTTCCCAGGTTTGCTTTATTTTTTATAATTTATGCTTTATCTTATGGTTGCCGCATTTAGGATAAAAATCAAAATTGATTTTCCATATGGCAACTCTAGTTACACGCTAATACGTTATATTATTTAATTTAAACCAGTGCAATTATTCTAGAGTAATGTGTTATGTTGGCCTACAATGGTAGTGTTTATGTACTCTAAATGTATATACGTCTCACTCGTTCGAGCAAATGTCAGAGTGAGACAACAATACATTTGTCTGTTCGTCAATGGTTCGAGGATGCACGAAGCGTGTCCGATCTCTGTATATTTTGCTTATATTTGACTATGTATATTAACAAAGTTGTTCAAAATAAATATTATGATATACAGTGCTATTGTTTTATTTATCTTTTTTTAAGAATTCGGAAGTTTTGTGGTTGTGCGTTCTGTTGTATCCTTAGTATGTAAGCTGTATTGATAATCTTTGTCTATCTAATAGGCTAGGAAGGCAAAGGGAAGGCTTATGAATATACCAAGCGAGCATAATTAGTCCCTTCTCGGTTCTTACCTAAGACACCACTTTTCGTTTTCCTAATTAAATGTCTGTTTGAAGACTTTCAAATTCTCGTATGATATTTATAATCACGGTCATGGTGTACACAATTAATTAAGCTCATACGGTGAAGGAAAATATTAAGAAACCCACTTGCGTGTATAAGGCATAGTTTGATCACCTACTTGAGAAAATATCACGAAGCAGATACAGAAAGGTTGAAGCGCCACTGCGTATTTTTTATATTCCATAAATGTTGTTTCTACATAAGTGACATTTTAAAGCGTGATTAAATATCTTACTGACAATATGTGAACATTCCTTGCAATACAAGTGACGTATATTCAACATTGTAGTTGTACATACTACAAGGTGTAAATCAGTTTACCTATATATTTAATTTAAAAATTGTAAATGATATTTAAAAAAAAAAGTTTTGATCAATAAAATGTTCAATAAATAAACAATTTATCAGTTTTGCGTAATTTAGTTTTTATGAATGTTAAACATTTTTAATGTAACGAAATGAAAATAGTTTTATGTAAAAATACATTTATTTATAACTAAGGTCAACTTCCTTCAATCTTTACATCGAGACATCCATATTTCTCCAATAACTCTTGTTTCTTTCTTCTGAGTAACGCTTCTTCTACATCTTTCTGTGAAGGCACTGCTACGTGTGAAACTGGCTTTTCTTCGTCGTCTTCTAGTCTTTTGTCTTCGGGCTGGAAATGAAATTACGTATTTAATTATTATTTTATTTGACTATCATGGATATTTGTATAATCACGATGAGCGTTTTTTACGTCTTACTGCTGAGCGAATATCGATCCCGATTTCAATAACGAAGTTTGTTCTGATCTCAAGGGCGACATTCGCGCTACAGATTTTGAGAGAAGTACACCGACACATAACCAACGGTATTGGAAATTACATAAAAATTAAGGGCCCTGGAATAAGATCAATTTATAGAAAATCAAATCTTGAATACTAAAACACGATTATAACGATACGTAACGATCCTCCGCCCACTGGTTATGACTGCAATTAATTTTCGTATCATCAATTAAACCTACCTTTGATTGGATGATCTTTATCACCTACTACGCGCTACTCTTTTTAAAAAGCCGTTAAAAAATTAAGTGTGTGACTTAGATGAAAAAGACTGCAGATATAATTAATTTACAACTACAGATGAATGATTGATTGAATGATTTAAAACTATAAAATATTTTAACGTATATGTACTTATAGCCTATAAACATTTTTATTTTATTTATCGCATTACGATCACGGAGCTAAGCATAAAATCAAAATATTGCAAATACCGATCATTTTTTTCCTTTTAAGACCTTCCCTCAGATTAAAACTTACGTCTTCTGGATAGATATTCTCCTCTTCGGGTAAATCTTCTTCTGTGTTCTGCTCCTTATTTCTTTCCCATTCATCCATTAC